AAAGAAATAAAAATAATATTTAAGTTTGGTGCTGAAGTTAAACAAAATAATTTGTCTATACTTGGTCTGTTGACCGACTGTTTCACAGTGGTGTCAAAAGTATAAACGTGTTACTTAAGTAGAAGCATAAATACTGCAGTTTAAAAACACTCTGGTAAAAGTTGACGTATCAGCTTGACCGCTTTACTCAAGTAAAAGTGAAAAAGTATGTGCTCCAAAAACTACTTCAAGTATAAAAGTATAAAGTAACCTTAAAAAAAAATAAAAACAGCCAGATGCCACTATATAAATTGAAAACTCAACTTTACAACTATTTGAAAATTTCTTAGAGATAGAGCCAAGGAGGAGGGAGGTCTTGTTGGTCTCCATCTCCCGCCTGTGTCCGACCTTTCAGACATTTCAACATCTTTTTCTGAATCTCACATTGTAGCATGGCATAGAGAATTCACGTTTGCAGCTTGAAGAACACCTGCTTGCTTCTGATGATTTCCTTTAGCTAACCCATGATTGTTTGCGTTCTATGACTCATCCAATCACACTAGTTTTCACTAGAGGAGCCAACTATCTGCATTGGATGGCGCACATGACGTGAACTAAATATTTATAAACATTAAACCGAAGCCAAGAGTAACGAGTAACGTTTGTTTTAAAAATGTAAGGAAATGAAAGTACAGATACTTGTGTGAAAATGTAATGAGTAGAAGTCAGAAATATGCACAAAAATAAGTAATGGAGTAAACTATTGTAAAACCCATCTGTATACATAACTGTAAAAACCCTTTTTATATTAATATCCACCTGTATATTATATTCGGTACATATCCAGCTGTAAATTTAGTTCATAACTCTAGTGATCTATATATTATATTTAATAGCATTCATCTCTATACTCATTCAGTAGAAACCCTGGTTAGACCTAAACTGCATTTTGTTGCCTTGTACCTGTACCTGTATAATAACAATAAAGTTGAATCTAATCTAATCTATAGATACCTAAAAAGTGTACTTGCAGTAAGTACAGTAACAAAGTATTTGTACTTCGTTACTTCATAGTTCTGCTGTTTCAGACTAAGAGGAGTTAGCAGGTAGCTTATCTGGTCCAGGACTCTGGATGGTGTGGAGGGATACTCAGAAGGTTTGAGGCACGACAGAGAACAAGATAAAATTTTCCAAGGGCTTCATCAAAAGATGGAAACCTGACAGTAAATGAAAAGATCCTCCTTTTTTCACACAAGCCTTCTAACCATCACAGGCACAGAGTCATTCCATTGGTTGGAGCGGTTGCCAGGTGGAGAATTTTACAGCACTTTGGTACAGCTTGCTGATATTTCTTCAAATAAGCTAATTGTTGATTATATTTTATTGAAATAGAAATAAATTAAGAGAAATGCTGTAGGTAACGTCCACGTAGAGCAGACTCATTTCTACTGGTCAGCCCACAAATCACAGAAAAGGGTGAAACCTGCAAGATGAGATTAGAAAATAAAGCAATACTTAAAACTTTCCCTCATAAAAATAAAAAAAACAACGTGAAACAATAACATCTTTAAAAAATGAAATCTAAAAA